GTTAGTGGCTGTATCCTCGAAATAGTGTAAAATCATTGTCCTCCAGAGAGGGTATGTAAGACCACGTCATTCAAAGTATATTTATTTCTGCCATGTTTTTAATCGTGATTTGTGTGTAAATGGCTGTAGTATTATACGGTTGTAAGAGTAGTGTGATATTGTTTTGGGATTGTTTTTTGGGAGGGATTGGTAGAGTTTTAGTTGTTTGTTTGTATTGGGGGGCAGAGGTTGAATACTTGATTTAGGTCTTCTGTTGTGTTGCAATGTGTGAAGTTTGGGTGTGGGTGTCTGTTTTGATTATGGAGTTTTGCATTTAGGTTAAATTGGCCGCTGTGGATTCTATTCATTATTTTATCTGAAAGGATAGACTTGGTATAGTTGCGGCATTTTATGACTGGTTTATTGAAGAGGGTCTTTATCCATGTGGATTGACAATTTTGAATATTAATTTGGAAATTTGGAAAATTTGATATATTTCAGTCTAGCCGTTGTTAATCTGCTCTTGATTAAAGTCATGTTTACCGTGAGTACCCATACAGCGATGGTGCCTGCGCAAGCTAAATAGATAGGATGTTACTCACTGGGTTGTGTATTATTTCGTCATATAACAGGGGTTTGAAATTAGATTGCCTGGGGACATATCGATGTCACACTTTATTGGCAGTTTTCCGTAGCACTTTTCTTCATGTAGTCAATCAGGTGAGACAAACATGACGAAAACCTGGAATGTCATGACGTCATTCTTCCTTATATTTAATTGATCAGAATGCACAGCAAAAACAACCGAAGGAAGTATTTAGAAGAATCACGAACACTTCAAGACGAATACAACTGAACATCGTTTTTCATATAGCAATTCACGCAATTCAATTGGACAATGTCTTCCATGTACGTGTATGTTTCACCGGACTCAGCTGTGAGTTGTACATGTATTCTGAAGAATGATTTCGTGTGCTTAGGACTATCGAAAGCATGTATAGGTCACATGGATGTTGGTGGGAAATATTAGTGATACAGCTATGAGTGTGGTATTCTCACGTCTTCTGATGATACTATCAATAACCCTCCTGAAAGTCTTCCTGAACCAGCGACGACGTCCCAGCGTATTGTCTGGCAGCATCACGGTGACGACCAACAACAGGAGGTAAAGATCAGCCTTCATTGTTTGCTTATTCTGGTAATCTGGGTGTCAGTCAACTGAAATGACAACACTAAAACTATCTTGAATGTGAAGGGTCGCGTTCATGAACATTGCGCTTCTATAGGGACGTGCATGTGTGTGTGTGTGTGTGTGTGTGTGTGTGTGTGTGTGTGTGTGTGTGTGCATAGCCAACGTATACCACAGGGTTACCCATGAAATAAACATAAAAAAGCTAAAGAGACCAGCTCACTATGTAAGCATAAATGGGATAATCCTTGGTGACTTTGATGCCCACGGTCCTTTAAGGGAAAACAGGAACGATTCGTACAAATACGGCAAAATCGTGGAGAAATCGAAGACAACATCCCGTAACTCTTAACAATGGCAGTCCCACACGTTATGACCAAATCCACAACACATGGAGTTCAACTGACCTCACAATGGCCACAAACAACCTCACTTCACATCACCAATGGCAGGTCCATGATGGCATTTGGGGAAACGATCATCTTCTAATACTCACCTACATAGTTAGCCCACTACAATTAGAGGAAGAGCCCAATCCTCAGCCCACATGGGACTATGCAAAGGTTGATTGGCCCAAATTCAGGAAGGAATGTGTATCCTCAAATCCTCAGAAATTGCCTCGGATAATTCTGATTATGTTCCAGTTGTGTTGATAGATGTTCATGCTTTCAGTCACTGGTTTTCCTGGACCAGACTGGATTATGTATTTGTCGTGATAACGAAGGGAGGTCCTGACTGCCGCGGTAATTGACATTCACGCCCCCCTTGTCGTAGTGGATAGAACGTCTGCTCGGAGAGGAAAACCTCTGTGATCCGATCCCCGGCGGCGTCATACCAAAATACGTTCAAAGATGTACTTGTTTTTGCCCTGCCTGACACTCGGCTTTTAAGGGCTAAAGCAAGGACTGTTTTACTCCGAGTCAGTACACTGTGTCTGAGAGGGGTATTCATGAGTGAGTGAGTGAGTGAGTTTGGTTTGGTTGTTGTCACTCCAGCTTGTTAACGGTGTAGAAATCTACATCGAAACGTCGTTATAAGGAGTAAACCAGAAGTTGTTATCCATAAAGTTGACTTATAGTACTTTATCTGCATGGACCTCAGCAGGATGTTCATGACCCATTCAGTTGTTGGCACATACTCAACGATTAAAAACATGGCAGAAATAAATATACTTTGAATGACGTGGTCTTACATACCCTCTCTGGGGGACAATCATTTTACACTACTTCGATGATACAGCCACTAACAATCTCAGTTACGAAATATATTCCACCATTTATATAAAAAAAACCTTTATTTTGTACAAAACATATTAATCAACATTTGTGCAATAATTCAATTTCCTTTAAAAAACAATAATTAAACGAGAATTAATATCATTAAAAAGATAATAGAAGATGATTTGAAAGGCCGAAAAATGGAAAAATCAACACAGTCAAGCAGGACATGCTTGACCGTGATTCTTTCATCACAAGGGATGCAGAATGGAGGATCATCACCTTTAATAAATATTCATGAGTATATCGAGAATGGCCAATACGACATCGTCTTAATATGACCGCTTCAAATCTGGACTGGCAACCCAGGTAGGTGTAACCTGTATTTGGCTTTACTGCATGTGATTTATTTACCTACTTGGGTGTCTCACTATTTCTGCAATAGATCTCCGATATAACATCTAACATCTAAGGTTTTATAGTCACTGTAGGGTATAAGAAGTGGTGTCACAGATTTTGCCTTAGCAGCAGCAGCCAAAGTGTTGCCAACGATCCCAACATGGCTGGGCAACCAACAGAAGACGATGTTGTATTGGCCAATCGCAAGATTATTTTGTAATTCAATTATATCACGTGAAACTGGATGTTCACACGAAGTATCTCCTATTGCCTGAAGACTGGACTGCGAGTCTGAAAAAATAATGAATTCCTCATGTTTCAGAATGTTTATTGATATATTTCCTAGAGCAGTTAAAGTGGCGTTTTATTCAGCTGTGAAAATAGATGAGTTATCTGCTAATCTAGTTGATAAAGTTCTCGATCCAATGATAGTGGCACTGGCAACAGCATCATTATCCTTGGATCCATCAGTAAAAATATATTTGTAAGTATCATATTCGCTTCTTAACTGATAATATTCTTGATATTCTTAGATACTAGTAACTGGTCAATACGTGTCCCCAGCGCATTCAGTGTTGCGTGGACCGCCTCCGTGGTCGAGTGGTAGAGCGTCTGCCCGGAGGACGGAAGATCGTGGGATCAATCCCCGGTTGCGTCACACCAAAAGGAAATGTTGTTACCCTGCCTGGCGCTCAGCATTAAGGGGATAAAACAAGGACTGATCGGGTCGGAGTGAGTATTCTGTGCCTGAGGACTAGCATACAAATACTCAGCATTAGTTCGGACAAATACAAGAAGCCACCTACACACACGTGCATGCACGTCGCTATATAACTCCAGTAATCTTTAACGCGACGTTAAACCCCATTTTACCTCACCTCACCTAGTTCTGTGTGAAAAGATATGTAGGCGCGTTTGAACAGTGTGTGTTTCTTGTAACGCCATAACTGCATCGAGTACCGCATTGCCTTCAATAAATAAAAGCAACAAAACCATTTCGATATTCATAAGAAATCTCCACCGTGTGCATGTGAGTGTGCATCATTTTGTTGTAAACCAGAAGTTGTTATTCACAAAGTTGTACGTTTTGTTGTCACCTTCAGGTTCTTTTTGTAACTTGTCAGCAAGCACATTTGAGTGAAGGAGTTTTATACAAAGGTATGTGTTGCTGTAATATGGTGGCATTGGATGTTGAAATGCACATACACCTGTTGAAGTAAAGGGATACGTAACGAAGATAAAAACAGAGATTCCCATTGCATATAAAGTAGGAAACCCGTTGTCTATCCGTATCTATATAGATACATCTCTGTTGTTGATACAGAAAGGTCTGCCTCGCTGATATACAGGGGTATATGTTGTCGCTTTCAGTATTTCAGATGTCCGACTTGGCCCCTGGTGACATCCGGGTCCAGGCGCCTACCGTCGCCAACAGCACAATCAACTGCCCCCAGTGTGTCATTAGTTTCCTAACTGGTGAACGACTTGATGGAATTCATTTCACACGGAAAACCTCAAAGTGGAAATTCTTTCTACAAATTAATTTTCTCAGTCTTTCAATTCTATCGTGACAGACTTCGAGTTGAAGGACTTGGTTTCACTGATGTACCACTCAACCTAGTGTCAGCACCGATTTTCAGTGATCCATGCGTATAGTTTTCACTGCTATTTATCAAGTCAATGTTCCCCTGACTAAACCACGGGAACATCTGGCGATTTTGACAAGCTTTTAGATGTATCGACATGGACGTATGTTGCTAAATATATACAAAGATCTAACGACGAGAAATAATGGTTCATGCACGGTGAATTGTGTATGTAATGTGGTCTCACCCGATCGCGACGTTCATGGCAGTAGACCAGGTAGAACTGAATTACATTAGTCTTTATGTATTCGCAATTCTTTGATTATATAATGTAAGCTGAGGGCTAGCCTGTGTGTAGATCGTCTAAAGCATCGCAAGATGATGCTCAGAGTTGCGTCCCTTAGGCGTGCCAGAATCCTTTGTTGATTACACTGTGATTAAGATTCTTGGTTTGCCAGAACCATATCTGTCCACGTGGATTTCACCAACGTGATAAAGGTCGAAGATGTGCATTCGATGTTCAAGGTCTAAGATGCGCATAGTGTTATTGTTTTTTCGTACATTCAATGATCATCATGTCTCCAGCGTATTTGACAAGCAAAATATATAAATCGAGATTGACTAGACACACGCTTTTAGCAGATATTTTATTGTTACACGACTGTTCAAAGGACACAAGAAGACCTTATGCCTTATCACGAAGATACTGTTTCAGTGTCACTAACATCGTACCAAAAACGAAGTTGGATGACTTTAATTCATAAATAAATTACATAAATGATCATTCGTGCTATTTACTGTTATTACTACATACAGTTTTGATTGAAGTAGTGAGCTCAGTACGATGACGAGGCTTTGCACTAGCCGATTAACATGTTAAAATGACATTTTGGGCAATTTACGTTACCAACAGGGGCTCTTTAAATCTTTACTTTCTGAGTAACATAAAATGAAAGAAAGGAAACAAACAGCAAAAGAACACTGTAAGGATGCTGCTGTTGTAATTGTACCAAGCCAACATGCAGCCCTGACATCATTTTGTTTGTTTGTTTGTTTGTTTGCTTTTTAACGCCGCACTCAGCAATAATCCAGCAATAAGACGTCGGGTTGTAAAAAATCACGTCTGGACCAGACAATCCAGTGATTTGCATCATGAGCATTGATCTACGTAATTGGGATACGATGGCATGCATCAACCAAGTCAGCGAGCCTGACCACTCGATCCCGTTAGTCGCCTCGTACAACAAGCATGGGTTGCTGAAGATCAATTCTAACCCAGATCTCTACAGTCGCCTCTGACGTAAACCATGTAAGCAAAATGTTTCCAAAAAAAGACTTAACAATACTGATTACCGATTTAACACATTTTACCATTTGGTTACATACACCGCAGTTCCACAAGGTGTTTCATCGCTCACAGGTCAATATTAGTTTTATTGGTCACTCATAAGCTGTTTTACATTTATCCATATTTAGAACATAGCCAGACAAAATCCAGTGTCCAACTGTACTTGAAGTAAGTAAACAAAAGTTAGCATGGCTTTTCATTAATATCGACCAAGTATTTTTTTCCCTGTAACCATGAACTTGCCAGCAATGATATCGGACTCTACAGCGGGCTTGGCGTTAGGCTGCTGACCCCCTACCCATATTGAAATGACGCCTGAAAGGAAACATGAAATTGATTTAGTCTATACTATTACGTCAGTTTTAAATTTGAATATTGAAATTGGTTATACTTATTGATCATTTAATGTGTCAATCGGAAACGCACAAACTACTGTCGAGGAAATTGTTTTAGTAATGGTTTGAGATCTACGATTATCCCAAAAGAAGTATTCGAAATACAATTTTCCTTCTTATTGTCATTATTGTTCAAACAAGCTTACGCTGCTTATTCCGTTTTTGCCCCTTTCCCCCTTAATATCAACAGAAGTCAACAGTACATAATACATCTGAAACAAACAATCTAATGATTGCCGTCGATATATAAAAGTTCCTCTTTGGAGCCAGATAGAACGTCCGCACGGAGAGCGGAAGGTCCGGGGTTCGATCCCCGGCCGCGTCATACGAAAGGACGTTAAAAGATTGTACTTGTTGTTACCCTGTCTGGCGCTCGGCATTAAGCGGCTAAAACAAGGACTGGTCAGCTCGGAGTCAGTATACTGTGTCTGATTTGGGTATTCATGTTAAACTGTGCCATGGTATCTCAGTGGGCTAGCTATATAAATTGGCATCCGTCCGGACTAGTACAAGCAGCCAAAATCACACACACGCACACGTGCATGCACGTCGCTTTATAAGTGCAATAATCTTGGACGCGGCGTTAAACCCCATTATACCTCAACACCTAGGTTGTGCTATCCACGATTGCTTTGTCAGGCCCTGATCTATTATCTACTGGGCGCTATGACATAGCTGAGTTAATAATAGATTGATATAATATATAATACCGGCTGAGTTCTCTCTTCAATACCTGTATATGACATCAACCATTGGGTTTTCTGGTCTTGATCACATGCCACTCACAGTGCATCGGTCGTACACTGGCGCAAAGTCACAATCAATCATCGTGTGGTTTGGCACTAGGACGATCGGCTTACCTGGTTCAACAACCCATCCATTTTGTTCAGTCCACACTGCCATGGACTCAGCCGAGATGGTGAATTCCCATAACGTCTGGGCGCCCCGTGGTGCAAACATCCTGTTGAAGGACACCAGCTGAAGCTGTGGAACCGTCACCGTGGCGTTCGACCAGGATATATACACCTGGATGACCTGAAATAGAGCAACGTTGTGCGTTTTAAATAATAGAAGTATTGTTCTGATACTCGCGACATACTAACGAGTGGTCAGGCTTTCAGGCTTGGTTGATGCATGTCATCGTATCGCAAATGCGTAGATCGATGCTCATCATATCACTCACTGGATTGTCTGGTCCAAACGCGATTGTTTACAGACCGCCGTCATATATTTTTAGTGCGCCCTTAAACAACAAATGATACTCTCGAGCTGTTTCAAAGATGTTTAAAGCACATTAAATGGTGGGCAAAAAAAGTGAGAAAATCTGGTAGTGGCATTGCCGTGCTGGTATATCCATATGAAGATGATGAATGTTTTCCTTCAAGATACTGGTCTTGATATTTCAGGAAGGTGGAAAGTCGGTAATTCTTTGTATTCTGAAACAATTACATAGCACTTTCGGCGATACATACCTCATCAGCATCAAAAGATCCTCGATTTATAAGTGAGACAGAACCAGTCAGATCGTCCCCGGCGGTCACATGAGTGGGATACCCCAAAATGTCGTAGAAGAAGCTGGTGTAGGAGAGACCATAGCCGAAGGGGAAGAGAACTGGATACGTGGCGTACCGGTATGTGCGTCCGACCATTGAGTAATTTGTCATGTCAGGCACCTTGTGAAATAATATAGGTAATTAATCGTACTTTCACATCAATCTGTTACATTTGATGTGGTCCGGGTACTATTTATATAAGAATCCACGGATGAACATGTTCATCACCAGGACATGCCAGATCGTGTTATCTAAAGGCAGATTCGTCCTGAGAATGTTTATGATTATTACCAGGATATGCCAGATCGTGTTATCTAAAGGCAGATTCGTCCTGATAGTGTTTGTGAGTATTACCAGGATATGCCAGATCGTGTTAGTGGCAGGTTCGTCCTGATAATGTTTGTGATTATTACCAGGATATGCCAGAACGTGTTATCTAAAGGCAGATTCGTCCTGATAGTGTTTGTGAGTATTACCAGGATATGCCAGATCGTGTTAGTGGCAGGTTCGTCCTGATAATGTTTGTGATTATTACCAGGATATGCCAGAACGTGTTATCTAAAGGCAGATTCGTCCTGATATTGTTTGTGATTATTACCAGGATATGCCAAATTGTGTTATCTAAAGGCAGATTCGTCCTGAGAATGTTTATGATTATTACAAGGTAATGCCAGATCGAGTTATCTAAAGGCAGATTCGTTCTGAGAACGTTTGTGAGTATTACCAGGATATGCTAGATCGTGTTAGTGGCAGGTTCGTCCTGATAATGTTTGTGATTATTACCAGGATATGCCAGAACGTGTTATCTAAAGGCAGATTCGTCCTGATATTGTTTGTGATTATTACCAGGATATGCCAAATTGTGTTATCTAAAGGCCGATTCGTCCTTATAGTGTTTGTGAGTATTACCAGGATATGCCAGATCGTGTTATCTAAAGGCAGATTAGTCCTGAGAATGTTTATGATTATTACAAGGTTATGCCAGATCGAGTTATCTAAAGGCAGATTCGTCCTGATAGTGTTTGTGATTATTACCAGGATATGCCAGATCGTGTTATCTAAAGGCAGATTCGTCCTGATATTGTTTGTGATTTTATTACCAGGATATGCCAGATCGTGTCATCTAAAGGCAGATTCGTCCTGATAATGTTTGTGTCGGCACTGACATTCAAATGTTTCTGAAGAAATACCGAGGACTAAGGAACACTTAAATCTTGATAATGTGAACAAAATACGAAAGTCATCAAAAGAAGAAACATACGAATGACATTCACAGTGACTTTGACCTTTCACATGTCCACCGTGATGTAACCTTAGTCAAACAACTATTGAGAAAGAATCGTATGACCTTGCAAAGCTTTACTAGAGGCTGTGATGTAATAACTACAATATTTATACTTACTGTGTCCATATACCTTGGCCACGTGACCGGAAGTCTGGCAGCTGGAACTGAGTTGGGTCCTTCAGCTAAAAGCACCCGTCGCAATGCCTCGCCTGTCGCTTGAGCTGGCAAAAATAGTTCCATGATGGCGTGAACCTTTGGACTGTCAACAGCCCATGTGATGTTGAGTGGTCCAGCATTGAAGAGAAGAAGGATGACCTTCGCACCCGATACTGGAAGGAAAGACGAACTGATCACTTGTCGAGGCGACAATACTATCCATACTATCAATAGTGTGAATTCGGTTGGTGTTGCCGTTGTTTTAATTGTTTTGGTTGTAGTAGGTAGCAACACTGTCTAAAGAGATGACAGAGAAATGGCCATTTGTATTACGAAATTCCGAACATACCTGCAGTGGTTCCATGTTATTAAATGTGTTGTCAACATCCCACCTACCTTGGCCGGCAGTGACAGCTTCCTGCAGCAGCTGCAGCTGTTGTCCAGGGAGGTCCAGATTGGCTTTGTCGTTGCCTTCAGCCTCTATCTCCGTACCTGAAAGAAAACGTTTGGTTCTAAAAAGTCATAAAATTTCATTTCTACCCTACATAAACTGGTTTTTGTTTTTTATCTGAAGAAGTCTACATCGGAATTGTACTTTGACAAAATGTAAAACGTCAACAATCCGCCGATACAGACACAATCGGGCGCATAACTGCGGTGAAAATCACATGAATGGGTGACTGAAAAACCAAGGTGCCCACTCAACCGGCAAACAAGCATAAATTAATATCTAATTTTTTGTGCATTACGTATGATCTTAGTGACCGACATGATCATACTCTGGAAATCATAAAGAACTTTAGGGAGTCTGGGTTTTTTATATCTAATGAGATATTGATTTATTATTTGCAACTAAACACAGTATGTCTTCACTTAATAAATCATAAAGAGAAAAATGATGCTCAATTAAGATTAAGGGCCTCACCTGTCCCAAGACACACAAAAAGTAGATCACTGCCTTTTGCTGCTGTCTGGACTTCCTGGGAGTTATACTGAGTGCATTTGGTGTCTGTGCAGCCTGCTCCATACCTCACTGTAGACCAGATAGACTGTACGCCTTGTAGAGGGTTGGTTGTGTATCTGAGGTCGATGTTAGGGGAGTAGTCTCCAAACAGTGCATTAGAATTGTTGGCCATTGGTCCGACAACCTGTTGGACAAGCATCCACTTTCATTGTGTTTTGGTTATTTTTTACTTGACGCCGCATTCAACTATTACAGGTAAATGACACATATTACACCCAACCCTGTCAAAACAAATCTATGTTATTTTGTTCAATAGCACACACCTACCGCCACATTCTTGTAGATCGATGGCTTCAAGGGAAGCACATTTTCTTGGTTTTTCAGCAACACAAATGTCTTCAATGCTGCCTCAACAGACAGGTTCCTGTGAGCCTCACCCTGAACTATTGAAACGTTCAGTTTTGTGTATTGATTCATTTCCGGTGGGTCGAACTCTCCAAGCCTCATTCTGACATTGAAAAGCTCCTTAACTCTGGTCCTGACCACGTCTTCAGTCAGCTTGCCTTGTTTCACAGCATCAACTGCAAGAAAGCAGACAACACTGCTCAGTACTGTAGCTTACATGGTGCATTTCAGAGCCCTACATTGATTCTGATAGTTTCGATTCCTGGTCGCGTCATAAGAAAAGACGTTAAAAGATGGTTCTTGATGTTACCCTATCCGTTTGGCCTTAAGGGGCTAAAACAAGGACCAGTCGTGGTATTTCTATAGTGCGACATGGTATCTCGATGGGCTAGCGCATGAAAATCGGCATTTGTCCTGACTAGAACAAGCAGCTAAACATACATGCGCATGCACGTCGCTATACAAGTGCAAACATCTTAGACGCGACGCCTACCCGAACAATCCTTGTTAATTCCCCATTACGCCAAGCTGCAGGTAGAGGAATAAATATTCCCATCACATAACGTCTTTTCTTTTGACGAACCACCGAACTTAATCTCTCCATACAGAGGCTTTGTACACGACACTCAGGCGGTCTCAGTTCAACAGAATCATAAGGATATTGAGACCTAACAATGTGGAAGCAATGTCATTTTGGGCACAGATGAACTTCAGTTCTTAGTATAAATATTATATGCCAGGTTTACAATACCCTTTATGAACGCATCGATAAAAATCTTTGGAAATGTACTAAATCAGACAATGACACGTTTTACTGTAAATCAGGTAACTGCATTTCAACAAGTCAGCTAACGCTCCTACAAAAACAAAGCGCCTGACCGGTGTTGATCAAGCTCCCGAAACGTAGAAGTCGAAGTTACCAGACTTACGACCAATGCCCTCATGCTCCACACCATGAGGTGAAAATATGAAACATTCAACCAAATTCAGATACAGACATATACCTTGGTCACACGCCGTTTGCTTTAATGCCGTATATAATACTCAAGCATCGGTGGTCTAGTGGTAGAGCGTCCGCCCGGAGAGCGGAAGGTCCGGGGTTCGATCCCCGGACGCGTCATACCAAAAGACGTTCAAAGATGGTACCTGTTGTTACCTTGTCTGGCGCTCGGCATTAAGGGGCTAAAACAAGGACTGGTCGGCTCGGAGTCAGTATACTGTGTCTGAGTGGGGTATTCATGTTAAACTGCGGCATGGTATCTCAGTGAGTTAGCACTATAAATCGACATCAGTCCGGCATTTGTACAAGCAGCCACACAAACACACACACACGTACATGCACGTCGCATTATAAGTGCAATAACCTTGGACGCGACGTTAAACCCCATTTCACCTCACCCATACAGAAACAAACAAGCATTCATGTGCATTTTGCAGATATACAGGGTATTAACCAATTTTCTACTCTATTAACTATGAACTTTAGTATGGATGTGAGGTGCACAAGCCATCGTGCGGCAATCAGATGAACAATGAACGCGTTTCTCGATGGTAAACTCTAAACCATGGACATTATAAACGTACCAAGTGACATGAAAACGGGCTGAGCTAAGTTTTGTGACAACTCGAGGTTGCATCCAGCCTTCACACACGCTGCGACGGTGTCGACGCTGTTGTTGAGGTAGTGGTGTTGAGTGATGATGTTCTCAATGGCAGCTTCGTCACTGACTATGTAACCTTTGAAACCCCATTCGGTTCTCAGAATATCCGTCAGAAGCTTCTTGTTGGCGCATGCTGGAACTCCGTTGATTCTTGAAAATAAGGGATACACATTAGATTCGATTCTTACGAAATCATATCACTTTTACCGACAGCAACACACAGTTTGTCTTCCAGCTTGAATTTATGGAAATAGAAATAGATTGTCGTTGTAGAATGTAGAACTCAGCAATTCTGGTATAATGGATGATTAAGGAGTAATGTTTCGTTTTTTAGAAGAAGCTTTCATTTTGACTACCCACCTATTGTAACTGCACATGAGATTGTAGGTGCCGGCCTTAACACAGGTGCGGAATGCTGGGAGAAATGTAGTGCGCCAGTCTCTTTCAGACACCTGTAGGAACAAGTCAGAGTGAGTGAGTGGCGTGCGGGCGGGCGGATGGGTGAGTGAATGAGGTTTTAGCCAGACATGGGATTCACAAATGGTAGGGAATCGAACAAACTAGATCTACGGAGAGGTTACCCCACCGCCCCCGATGTACAATGAATTAGTCAATTTTAGTGGTGCCATATACATGTACATGTAAATTTCAGGTTTTACTTCCTACACATTAAAAATAAGTTGACAAATGATAAACTGAATTAGATTGACGTTGTTGATGTCGATCTCTGTACTGAACAACGGACTCTGCTTTTGACATAGGTTTCGTATGATTATGGAAATGTCGTTATGATTTACCAAGAAAGGAATGGCCACAAATAGAATCCTTGATTTCATTCAGGGACATTACACTAGCTGTGCAACTGTTGGTAGTTATACGTTTTCGTCATCTCTCGTTACATCACAATAAAGAAGATGAACTTTTAGAATGTATGGATTTTGTTGTCACTGTGAAGTGACGTGTTGTTATGTGACGTGATGTGACCTTATATTTCTGACCTCTGCATCAAACGAGAAGCGTGAAGACGGTATATTATCGGGGCCGCCATGGACATTGAAGTGCTTGCAGCCGGCGTTGGCTCTGATGTAGCGGGGATCGCTTCCCTGGAGACCCTTCACGAAATTGGCAGCAAAGACACCTGACAGGTGTGGATCCTCTCCATATGTTTCCTGTACAAAATCAGCAATAGGGACTGTATGAACCGAAGCGACAAATAATGGTTTTGTTGTTTTTAGTGACAGGACATTATCTCAACTGTTTAACGTACATAACGTGGGTTGTTCCTTCTTATTTGTGTGGTAGTAGGTCAAAGTCATGTCCATACCCTTGGAGACGGTTTGGTGACATCGTAACTCAGGACACTGTACTGTTCGCCTTAGATTAGGGTTATAGATTATACAGATAACGTGATAACATATAAGGATGACCTCTGTATAAGGATAAGGTCAATGTAAACGTACCGTTTTTTAACCTTGCTATTTTCTGCAGTTATTTTAATATGTTAATGTATGCAGTGGTTTAATAAGATAAACTACAAATGTGTATCAAACTAAAAAGTTGTAATTAAACTTGTAGGTCACTGTGGTCTACTTTTTCGTTTCTTTTTTAGCTTAAAATTCACCCATATGTGTGATCAAGGAGTTTGTAAATCTGTCATCTATTGAATAAAATATTCCGACCAAAGCAACAGACCCTTCCTGATCATGATCATTTCGCATAATTGACAGACATTTCATTTCTGAGGAAGATAATTTATGGATGTCATCTTCTTTATTATGAGGGACACAACGTTTCGGAGTATATACTTACTCCTTTACCACCTGATAAAGGAGTAGGTATATACTCCAAAACATTGTGTTCCTCATAAAAAAGAAGTTGACATCCATAAATCCTCTTCCTTATGTGCCTTTCAAAGACTTGATTTCATTTCTGGATCATAAATCAGAAACCATTAACAAAACTTTATATTGTACCAAAAGGAACCAATTTCATTAGAAAGTGATATTTATCCTTATATTAATAATATTGTTTCTGCAAATTTTATGTTGTGTTACGTCAAATGGAAATAATTTTACTGAGACTTCGTTTCAAATCAATACTCCATGAACAATCTTGTGCTCAATCGTGAAATCAAGTGATGTGTATGATGCGTCTTGTTCAATGCAAGACATGTGTTCCACCCGTGTCAAGATGAAATTAACTGTAGCAGCTATCACGTTTCGGGGACAAGCTCCTCGAGTAAAAAGTAACACAGCATCTTAATACTTTATACAAGACATGAGAAGCAGACACCGTGTTGATCACCTGCCTAGATTCTGTAGACGTCCCAGATATGCTTGACAGATGGCAGATGGCCATTATGTTCCAAAGATTGGATTCTATTCAATTATGAAAGCATATATGAATGGCGCTATTAGCCTTTGCTGTCATTGTGTAGGTAATGTGTTTCAAAGAACGTTTGTAAAGGAACTGTAACTGAACGAGTATCGTAAAGACGATATCGAAATAGATCTATAAGATAACGACAAGGCTGAAGAGGGCAAGGCAGCATAATCGCACATGATCCAGTCGAAGGCAGACCTAATTCCCGTCGCCTCTGGGGTCTCTCACCTGATTCCTGCCCCACCTGGGGTCTCTCACGATGTTGATGACTGGGCTGAAACAGCTGATACCCTTGTGAGTGCCGTATATCCCATGCGCTGTGAAATTGTTATACTTGGCCCTCACCTCCTCACCCGTGGCCTGGGCTACCCGGAATATCAGATCTGTGCTGCAGGAAGGGCGAATCATTTAACATTTTGCTTGGATGTCAATAAATTCACTTAAATGTTTAGCTAATAAAGTGTTTTGCATTTAACTATTGGAAATGAAAACACCAGTTGGTGAATGATTTGCATATGGGCGAGACGATGTTGCAATAATTCAGCATTTCTTACTTAAGTTTGTTCAGCACTATTACAGCTATATGACGGCAGAATGATCATAATCGAGTTTGACCAGACAATCCAGTGATTGATATTTTGATCCCCGTAATCGAGTACGATAAAACGAAATCAAGCAAGTCCATCTGATCCATTAAGTCGCTTCTGACGACCAATTGGGGACCAATTCTAACTTGGTGTATGAATTGATTTAGAAGACTTTAGTGTGTATAACGTTCCAAAAATTCCAGGTTTTCAATAATAAATTATGATGTTTATTTTGTCTATATTAAGTTATTATTATAAATATCATGTAAATGAATAACAATTAGTAGCTTCTGCACACGAGTCCAAGTTTGTATTTATCCATGTTGTGTGTTATTGTGCTGCTTTACATGAAAGTTGGAGAACATGTTGGTAGTCATAATAGACTGTAAAGCTCAGAATCAACACTTTAAAAACGTTAAAATACATACATATTTAAATACTGCATACAGTAAACTACGTTTATAACGAACATGCTTATAACGAACTGACGGATACAACGAACTTATTTTAGTCCCGACCATATGTTGTACATATGCTGAATGTATGCTTATAACGAATTGCGGTTATTTCGAATTAAAATTAGTGGTCCCCTCGAGTTCGTTATAACCGTAGTCTACTGCAGTTTATCGAATGAACGCGACAAAACCCATTTCCATTATCATAAGAAATCGCTGCTTCAAGCGACAACGTTATAAGGATCTATACTGAAACGTCGCCTTTACAATATTAAAGAGAAGTTGTTATCTATAAATTGTGTCAACTTTGTCATCCGTCAACTTCTAAGCAATGCCTATCAAACAATACTAGTATATCATAAGCATATTTTATGAATCACTTTCAAATAATGATCATATCAGAAATTCGCGAAAAGGTTCCCCAGTGGTTGGAAAACTGGAAACCATGAATAGGTAGTCCACGTATTATCATAGCAAAGGTTTGAATTTGAATTTGAATTTGTGTAGATATCTCACCTGAATGAGGCTGCAAGTCCTAGTGCCTGGGGGAAGGAGGTAGCGGCACCGGCCGCCACATCCCCACGGAGACACTCGGTGTCCCAGGAGTAGGGCTTGATACCCAGACGGGGTATAGCAGGGGCGGGGCCAGCGTTTGGTCCTGAACCCCCACGGGCCATCTGCAGCTGGATCTCGTCCAGGGTGAAGCGCCCAACGAGATCGTTGACTCTGTCCTCCCAGGGGAGAGAGGTATTTCTAAAGGGGTAGTCCCCCACCACCAGGGGCACGAAGACGAGAAGGAGGAGGAGCATTGTGTAGGAACGACACGGAGAGAATGACTGTGTGAGGACTTCGTCGGGATATGTTATACAGAGACATAACGTGACTCATTTTATCTACATATGACTGCATGAATATGTTTCGTGGCCCGTTTGCTTGGTTTTTAGATAACACAGATTATGCTGAATGACAGACAATTTCCGAGCCAAGAAGCCTTGGAAGTTTTCGAAAATGTTATTTGGCCTCTGAAAATACAAAAATATTGTTTGCTTCATTTCTCGAACGCAGAAAACCCAACAATTATGTGTAAGAAATTGGGAAACGGAATTCGAGGTTGTTTGTTTGTTTGTTGTTTAACGCCGCATTCGGCAATATTCCAGCTATATGACGGCGGTCTGTAAATAATTGAATCTTGACCAGACAATCCAGTGATTGACATCATGAGCATCGATCCACGCAATTGGGATCGATGACATGCATCAACCAAGTCAGCGAGGCTCCGATCCCGATCCCGTTAGTCGCCTCTTACGGCAAGCATGGGTTGCTGAAGACCTATTCTACCCCGGATCTTTACGGGTCTAGTATATGAAACGTTTAGGATGAATCATTAAAATAGTCCGAAGACTGTGTCCCAGTGAGGTATTTATGTTCATACTGCAGCATGGTATCTCAGTGGGCCAGGACAATGACAACCGCTATTTGTCCGGATGAGCACACGCACGCACGCACGCACGCACGCACGCACGCACGCACGCACATATACACAAATGCATTTTACCTCTCTTCACCTCAACCCATGTCACCAGAGACCATATAATAGATTATTATATGGTCTCTGATGTCACCTTATAACTGGTAATAGCAGAAATTCTGAAAATTATCGTTAGTTTCTGAAATGAAATCTGCGAGCAAGTCTAGACTAGACAGCAGGCACGACTCCCACGTGCCGGGCAGGTCACGGAAGTGTGTTAATATCCGATATGTGAGTTATAAAAATATCTCAATGTTACCATTCCAGTATCCGCGATTGCAATTGTAAGTGTCCCAGTTTTATGACGGAATGTTTACTTTGTAAGGTGTAAAATCAGATTAATCTTTATTGTTATTCCATTTGAAATAGAAAAGCGAAAGTAAAAGTATTGCCTGTTTTAACCTTCACTTTGTGAAGATAACTGACATAAATGAAAGGGAATCTCAACATGACTAGCGGCTAAATATAGATTAAACGGAACAGAGTCCACAAGATGACCAGCTTTATAGGAACTATGTTTCATTAATTTCAGGGCCTATTCGTTCCGGGGGAGCTGTCTGTGCACAAGGAACAATGCCGTCACGATTGGGGTGGGGGGGGGGGGGGGGGGGGGGGGGGGGGTTCGCAGTTCGCGTTTCTTGGGCACGCCAGAATTCTATGATTGTTGGTTCGAATCCCGGTTCGACCCGATTATGTTTCCAGGTTTGTAAGCACCATACACGTGTTCGTATGAGACCTGAGGGCACGGGTGGCCCAGTCGTCTAAGGCGCCGCGATTCGCTGTGCAGAGTTGCGTCCCTTGGGCACGCGAACAACATATGATTGTGGGTTCGAATCCCGGTTCGCCCCGATTATGTTTCTAGGTTTGTCAGCACCTTACCCGTGCTCCTGGGTTTCACCGAAGTGGTAAACGTCTGAGACCTGCATCACTTGGGGCTTTCCTCCCACATTAAGCTGACATGCCGTGATATAACTGGAATAATGTAATAAGCGGCGTTAAACCCGTCTCACTCACTCGTATGAGACCTGCATCACTTCGGGCTTTTCTCCTACAGTAAGCTATAACTGGAATACTGTTCAAAGCGGTCTTAAAACCAATTCACTCAGTCACTTTGTTTCTTACAAACTAAAAACATGTTTGAAGTTCTAATTTAACACATAAAATGACTGGTAGGTGTGTTCTCCTTCTTTGGCCCGTGAATGTCATTTTGTTGTGGAATTGTATGTTTTTATTCTAGTAAACAGAAAAATAGAAAATATGTCTTTTGTTGTATTTAAATACTTGAAAAGAGACTGATAGGTATGTTGTCTTTTCCACGGTGATGACATTTTAAAGATCAATTTCATAATGTGTACCTAACAATGTAATCGAGATTAGAGTACGTTACCTTCATAAAATCGCTAAACACATTGATAATAAATTTTGGGAAGACCGATCTAAATTTTTGCTTGGTTATGATAGCGAAGATAAAACATTGAGGATACTAATAAATTTGTAAAACTTTATTTCACAAACAACGTACCGTTGAAAGATACGAAGTACTTTGTAAGCTACTATGAACAAGGCATTCAAACAATGAGGCACCTTTTTTAAACCAAACAGGGTCCTCAAAGCATTTAAAGAGTTACATAGACAATTTGCATTGAAAGCGACTTTTATGTCATACTTCGGACTTATTAAGCATATTCCGGGAAAAATAGATAGACGCACTTAGGATACAAAAGGTAAAAATTGTGAAACTTATGCGACCGTCTTTGGGACACAGACGACTATACATTTGTATATACACTGCTTCAGCAAAAGATTGAGGGAGTGAGTTGTGTTAACGCCGCTTTCAACAGACAGACAGACAGACAGACAGTTTATTCAGTAAGAAGGCCATAGGCCCATAATACAGACAATGGTTGATTGCATGAACTACGCATGCCAAGGAAGTAGTCGATTTAAGTTTCTCTTAGCCGTTGGACTTTATATAGATATAAACATGTGTTATATACAACATCAAAGTTTTCTGATGAAATAATTTCAGTAAAAGATGTTACAGTTTGAAACTTGATATACTGTTTAAGATACATATTTCTTAGGGCTGAATAAACATGAAATTCATCTTCAATAAAAGATATACCATTTTCTATACAATATTTACATAATCGTTCAGTGTATGGGACATTTGTGTATCTCCCCAAGTCAGTTGCAAGTTTAAACTTGCTACATCTGAAACGAGTCATACATATTCTCAGATGTACTGGTATGGGGAGTGTAAGATATTTTTCTACATTTAACAGGGATTTAAAATGTTTATAATAAAAGGTATCAGATATACTATTGATAGAACTGCACCATGATTGTTGAAGGTTATCAAATAATCTTTGCTTAAAAATATGAATAAATACCTTTACATTGCCGACATCTTGTGTTAACCATACATATCCAAAACCTAATTTAAACAAAATATTCTTAATAGGAGTAGCCCATGTGGTGCGACCAGAATGGGCCAGTGATTTGAGCATTAAACAACATTGGCGAGGCAGTCTGCGCTCGTCCAAACGCAGTAGCCTGCACCAATACTTGATGGCCCTTGTGGTATACACAAGTTGGAGAGGGGCTCTTCCGCACTCTCCTAAAACCATTGCATTGTTTGTTGTTTTACCTGTATTTAGAAAACATTTACACATTTTATTCTGTACATCTTCAATAATTTTACAATATGAGATGCCCCATATTTCTGCGCCGTGACAGACATTAGGCACAATCATAGCATCAAATATCTTAAATAAATCTTGACAGGGTATATTACCAACTTTCTTTGGATATCTATATAATGTCAGGGGCGGTCGGGGAGCCTAGTGGTTAAAGCGTTCTCTCGTCACGCCGAAGACCCGGGTTCGATTCCCGACATGGGTACAATGTGTGAAGCTCATTTCTGGTGTCCCCCGCCTTGATATTGCTGGAATATTGCTAAAAGCGGCGTAAAACCTCACTCACTCACTCACTCACTCACTCACTATATAATGTCATAATGGCCTTGTTACTCTGTGCAGCAAGAGTATTTAGTGCCTTAGTCCAAACAAGTTTGGGCGTGAACACAATACCCAAATATCTATAAAACGACAAGGTTTCAATATATACACTATTAAATTTCCATTTTTCATAATGTCAAAGGGGTCCGCCATTTCTGAATACCATAACTTTAGTTTTCTTCAAGTTTACCTTCATGCCTGTGGTATTGCAAAAAGGTGTAACATTATTCTAGTTATATCACGGCGTGACAGCTTAATGTGGGAGGAAAGCCCCAGGTGATGCAGGTCTTAGACGATTACAACTTCGGTGAATCCCACGAGCACGGGTATGGTGCTGACAAACCTAGAAACATAATCGGGGCGAACCGGGATTCGAACCCACGACCATAGGTTTCTGGTGTGCCCAAGGGACGCAACTCTGCACAGCGAATCTCGGCGCCTTAGACGACTGGGCCACCCGTGCCCCTAGGTCTCATACGAACACGTGTATGGTGCTTACAAACCTGGAAACATAATCGGGGCGAACCAGGATTCGAACCCACAACCATAGGTTTCTGGCGTGCCCCCCAACGGTTAACTAAAGTTATGGATACGCTAATTAATAATTTCGACAAATTGGTACTTTAAAATATTGTGAGCGAGTGAGGTTTAATGCCGCATTTAACAGGAGGGGTACATTAAGCTGACACGCCACGATATAACTGGAATACTGTTAAATGCTGCGTTAAACCCAACTCACTCACTCACTCACTCACTCACTAGTTAATCGTTATTAACAGAACTTCTCGAAAGTGGTCTTTAGCCTTAAGCATGATTAATTTTATATAATAAAATGTTCACGAATAATACATACTTTCTCATAAGACCCATTAGGGATGACCAATCTCGAGTTTCCAGCCTAATTAATAAATATAGTAATACCATGTTAGTCCCGTAAAACAAGACAAAACGATCAGAATGACGAAGCGTCACTAAAATACCTCATCTCGTAAGAAGACTGTATGAGGCGCACGTACAAGTACAATAATGTGTCGTATACTCGGGGAAACTTGACCGGTCAATCTTTTTAAAAATTATGTTCAAGTCGTGGGTACGGGTAAAATGTGTGAGTAAGGGTGGTGGTGGTGGACTGTGACCTATTTTGCTGACGCACACACCCTCACATCCCCCACCCCCCATCCCCGATATCATTGTGATCAATTCTGCCGACCCCCATCTACCCCGTCCCCAATGTGAGAACTCCACTCCCGTGTGATCGTTGAGTCCCCAATATGAGCACTCCACTCCCCTATAATAGTTGATCAGTCCCTGATGTGAGAGGAAGGGTTTGC